ATAATTAAAATTTATACAAACAAATACTAGTTTTGAATTTAGTTAATTTTTGTTATGGTTTAATGTTTTTAATTTTTTTTTTACATATAAACTTAACTATTTCTCATTAAACTTTGTTTTTGAATAGTTTTTTTGTTATTAAAATGTTTTTATTCATGATTAATTTTTAAAAATATATTTATTCATAAACTATATTATATATTTGGATATTATAACTATACAAAATTATTTATATTACTATTTTTTTTAACTATTAAATTTGATTTGACTAATTCGATCCGGTCGGACCACATTCACCCATGACTTAAAAAAATTTCCGGATCGATCGCCGTTTCGGTTTTAAAAACCTTGGTTAGAACTACTAACGATTAATTTATCATTATAGTTGCATTGGAAAAAGTGTAGTGGAAAAAAGACAAATCATGTTGATGTATTCTAGACGGCAACTCTTGCATAAATCAAGCGTCGTTCCCTTAGTCAATGATTAGGATAAAATTATCTAAAGTCTTACGATTATTTATTTATTGGAGACATGCAAGTGATAATATCAAAAATCATTTTCTTGTGGGTTAACAATATTTTAATGTCATTTGCTACCGGAAAGGTAGTGGATCCAATCCCCCTACTCCTCCTTTGGAGACAGTATAATATGCAATTTTAAATACCAGCATGGATCATAATTCATAAGAAATCTAGAATATTTGCCATTAGACAATTTGACTATTTTTTGAAGTTGACTTTATCCCTTATTAGTCTTGAGATCACATTAACAAATACAAATCCATTTCTGCTTCGAAAAATTCATATCACAATAGTCATTTCGAAATTAGTTGTTATATCCGATTACAAAAGTAAAAAAAGAAGGCTCTAGTATTCATATTCTCGTATTTAAATTCTCTTATTTAAATGCGAACTATGGTACAATACAACAACAATACTGGTACAAACTACTAAATTGCAGTAAATTAGTCTTTACCAAAAAAATTCTTGCGAGGAGATCAAATAGTGTTTTGATCATCACAAGGAATTAGTCTTTGTAAGAGAGACTTTTTTGGTATTGAGCCTTACCAGTGCAATCGTTCATGAGAATTTTTTGGTATTCAGTCGTTCAAAGTTTTTCTAATACTCCTTATCTTTAATATAACACAAACATTGAAAAAACATTGCATACATCATCCTATTGACAATTTGTTTCATCAGCATTCGGATAATGAACCCTGAACATAGGCCCAAGAGACGTGGGACTGGCGCCCCAAATTTTTTCTGATTTGTTAATTCTAAAAATAGGCCCCAAAATTATTTTTTTTTGCAAAAAAGATCCCAAAATCTCATGACCGGCCTAGTAGTATTAGCTCAAGAGTAACTTTCTACATTTACTTAAATAGAAGCAAATATTGATTCTTGGAGACAGGCTCGGAAGGCTTAAGAGCATGTTCATTGGAGTGTTCTCAATTGTGTTCTTAAAATATAAAATTATTAAAACACACACTCTCTCTTTTTTTTACTCAACTTTATACCTTCTCTTTCATTTTTTTACTCAACTTTTATTAATTTTATATTTAAACACTCTCACTTCATTTTGAGAACACTATCTAAAAATACTACTTTAAGAACACTCTCTTTTCCTTTTACTCAACTTTTATTAATTTTATATTTAAACACACCCACTATCTTCTCTCTTTACTCAAATTTTATTAATTTTATATTCAATACACCCCACAAAAACACTCTCTTTCTTCCTTTTACTCAAATTTTAATAATTTTATATTTTAAGAACACACTTAAGAGCACCCCAATGTACATGCTCTAAGTCTCTCCAATTATTAATTCTCCAATTATTAGATAGAAACTTTCTTTAGTTCCTTATTCATTCATATGTTTTTTTTTGATAAAGTATTCATTCATATGTTGCACTCGATATAAACCAAAAGCTTTGATTTGAATAAATTTAACATTCAATTCAAAAAAAAAATATTAACAATCAACCGAAATCATGAAAGAAATAACTACTGAAATTATAAGAGAAAACATGCAAAGTTCTTGGACGATTGATCCAAGAACTTCCGGCTCGGTTTTCTGATCGGTTTGATGTCATGATGTTGTTTTGATGCTCTGATGTCGGTTTGGCCGGTCAGCTTGTGCATCAGTATCCTCTCATCAATTTTTCAGTGGCGAACAACTTGAAAGAGGTCAAGAGAAACTTCATTGTCTGTGATGATCTTGTCGGCTTCTTGCTTCTCTGGCAATCCCCAGTCGAAGAAGTAGAGCATAGTCAACAATCCCAATTCAGCAAGTGTGATTCCCAGTCCCATCCCGGGACATATTCTCCTACCAGAACCAAACGGTAACAGCTCAAAGTTTAGTCCTTTGTAATCTATGGAACTGTCTACAAACCTGTCCGGGTTAAAATCATCTGGGTTTGTCCAGTGTTTTGGATCGCGCGCGAGCGCGTAAACGTTGATCATGATCGGTGTTTTGGCGGGAATATCGTAGCCTTGAATCTTGACTTGAGTCAATGTCTCTCTTGGGAGAAAAAGGGGAAATGGTGGGTGTAATCTTAGCGTCTCATTAACCACGAGTTTCAAGTAATGGAGGTTGGTGAGATCTTCTTCTGCGATTCTCTCCTTCTTGTCTCCGAGTGTTGATCGAATCTCATCTTGCACTTTCTTCATCACGTTCGGGTTTCTGATTAGTTCCGTCATTGTCCATATTATCGTGTCCACGCTTGTGCCAATCCCTGCAAGAAGTATGTCCTGTCATAAAACAAGATAATTGTGAGAATTTACACATGTTTATAAGCAAGCGACTAACAAAAACAAATGACTAAAAAGGGTTCAAAACATTACCGATATCATTCCTTTGATATGATCTGTGTTGAGCTTGAAAGAGTCTTCTCCATCTTTCTCTGGCTTCTTCATCAGATCAACCATCACGTCAATGACATTCGGGCTCTCTACTTCTCTTCTTCAGGCTTAAGATGTTCATCGAGAATATTCTGGAAGAAAATGTCTGGTTCCGAGAAAGCATTCTTCAGTCTTTTGTTCTTACCGGAGATCCAATCGATGAATCTTCCAATTCTTCCGGGAAAGAAATCAGAGAAGCTAACAATCTTATCTATTAAAGAAACTTCGAGCAGAAGATCCGTGATACTATCTTCATCCATGAACTTGCAATCGTGGAGATTCTGCCCGAATGCGATCCTACACACGATACTACCAATTATCGTGTAAAGGGTTTTCCTCAGATTCACTGGAGATCGTCTCAAAGCAGATTCGGTTAGTTTCTTGACCAACAAGTCATTCTCTTCCTCTCTGATAAACCTAAAAGTTTGAAGCTTTTTTGTGCTAAAGAGCTCGACCACAGAGAGCTTTCACATCGCCTTCCACTTCTCACCGTAAGGCGCGAATCCGATGTCCTTACAGTTGTAAGTGACTGTTCGTAGCCCGAGTGGCAATGATCGGCTACAACATTCAAGATCGTGGATCTTGAGCACTTCCTCAGCTGCTTCTTTCGATGTGATTACCACCGTGGGCACAAATCCGAACTGGAGAAGCATCACTGGTCCGTATGTTTGGGAGAAATCCCGAAGACATAAATGAAGCATTCCTTTGATGTTGTGTAAGTTTCCGATGATCGGAAGCTTCTTTGGTCCTGGAGGAAGGTTCCATTTAGAAGGTTTGAGATTTTTCAAAAAGATTAAGAAAAATGGGTGAGGAAGATGAAACAGAGGAAGACTGACATTTTCTTTCTTCTTTTGGTTTTGTGATTTAATTGAAGAGCTTAAGCAATTGATCTATATATAGCAATCAATTAACCAAATATATTACTGAAGGTATTTTCTAATATTAGTAAGATATTGTCTAAAGGGCAACACATGATTCAGCTCATGAATCATTATTGATAAAAATCCAAATCAACGAAAATAAAATAACCCTTACGTGCGCAGTAGTTAGATTGATTAAGATGTACAACCCACAGCTGATTGAAAAGATTTAAGAAACTAAAAAAATTGGTAAGAGGTAGAGGAAACAGAGGAAGAAGATATCAACAACAGAAGTGTATTAAAGCCTCTGAGTCCTATAGAGGCTTCTCCAAGAACCAAACCAAAGTCAAGTGTGTCAAAGACTCCGAATCAGATAAAACTTCTTTCAATAAGTAAACAAGAAGAACATCATCGCATGGAATCAGATAAAGACTCTTCTAACGGCTCTCTCACTCTGCTTCACAAAGGGAAAAAAAAACAAAAAAACGCCGAGGATCGCTAAGAAGATGACAGTCAAGAACGATCCCAATGATTATAGCATCGTGTGGATGATCGAGTCTAGAACAATGCACTCTAATATAGAAAGAAGAATAGTTGTATCGATTACATTTGGGAGAGATAAAGTTCAAAACTTCATATTTTTTTTCCTGGTGGTTTTTATAACATGCTTTATAAAAGCGTATATATAATGGTACGTAACGTAACTCCCGTTCTGACTCCGGATTGATTTGTTTCCTTGCCGGTTTATATGGCTGTAATTCTCAGGTTTTTTAATATAATCAACCATATGCAAAAGAAAATGCCTATAAAAAAAGTTAATTAGCTTAATATTAGTCTTGAGATAGATAATTATGAAACTAACATATGCATAATAAAATTTAGGTATATAGCAAAGAGAAGAAAAATTTGGACGAAATTGTCCCTGCAAAAATTAAGAAAGAAAAGTGGTAAAAATCAATCAAAATCTAAATTAAGGAAAGGTAATCAAAATTATTTATTTTAAGGAAAATAGTAAAAATTCCTACAAATCTTTACACCGACACTGTGTTTTTTTCACAGAATCAATCAGTCCGATTGCTGGAGGAAAAAATCAAAATTGATCTTAATCTTGATTCAATTATCTCATATGGCAGTATAGTTGACTATATTCCTACATTCTATGTTGTTGTAGTTAGCTAAGATTCCAGTATTGATTTCAAACGGCTGTATAGTTGACTATATTCCTATTTCTAATGTTATTGAAGTCAGGATCTCGAAATCAAGGAGATGTTTGTATAGTTGATTATATTTTTACTTTCTATGTTGTTGTATAGTTAACTAAAATTCATACGTTGTATAGTTGACTATATTTTTTTTATATTGTTGTAGTTAGCTATTAATTAATAATAAAGTGAACTATATAACCTTTACAATAACTAATTCAATTGTAATAATATAGTTAACTATATAATCTTTATAATTGTATATCTTTTAGTCTATTTATCAAGATAGTTACTAAATAACACTTATAGTTAAATATAGTTAACTAAAACAATTTACAGATTATATACGAATAATTAGCTATTCAATCATGTATAGTGATAAAAATTGTTCACTATGTAAAATATTGCATCTATACATTTCGATAATTATACTTCATAATTAGTTATACTATTCACCTTGTTATTGTTGAACCAGTAGATATTCAGAACCAGTAGACATTCAAAACCAGAACGAAACAACTGCCTGAATATTTTTGAATATTTCATATTTGGAGATTATTCA